AAAGAGATGATTTGGGATCCAAAGCATCTTTGAAATGGCTCCAAGTGACTTTCCTGACTTGTTCACGTCAATGAGTTGCGTTTTCAGATCTTTGCAGAGCTCCTCAGACTGTAGTGAGTCTAATAAGTGGATCGAATTGCCCCAATTATATTAATTCAGAGGCGTCAGCAGCTGTAATCAAATGTAATTGCTTGTGAGTTAATAGGCCAAGCTGCTAAGAACATTTGATTAACACAACTTTCTACATCACCAAAATGAATAATTCAAGTAGCTGTATGTATATTTTTGATACAGCAGATTTAGTCATATTTTCAGAAGACCTGTAAAAAATCTATGAAAGTTTTTTGTTTTTTTGACAAAGATGCATCACCATCAGAAAATATTAAGACTGATAGGAGTCACTGGAGACTCAAGACTGCCATGATATACATGATCTTCACAAGTCTACTTAAACATGTCTTCATAAATATGTAAAACAGTGACTTGAATAAAAATATCTAACAGTTGAAATTGTTGCTAAACTGGATAAAATAGCTCCTTTGAGAGTATCGATAAACATTTGTAAACACAGACGGGATAAATAGGAAGGACAGATGTTAAAATATGCAAAAACTAATGAACAGTTTGGACCAAAGTGAACTAAACACATCCACTTTTTATATAATGAAGTGTTAAATAAGATCCAATTTATAATGAGTTCACATGGACACATTTGAACATGTGTTTCCAAATGTTCATCTGTACTTTCTGGGAGCTGTTTTATCCACTTTTAGTTAAGTGTTGTTTTATATACAGTCATGAACACACGTTTAAGTAGACTTGTAGAGATCATATATATCATGGCAGTCTTGAGTTTCCAGTGACTCCTATGGCGATGCATCTTTGTCACAAAAACAACAACTCTTCTTTCATAGATCTTTCACAGGTCTTCTGAAGATATGACAAAATCTTCTGGGTCAAAACTATACACACAGCTACTTGAATGATCAGTTTTGGTGATGTAGAAAGTTGTGTTACAGCTGCAGACTCCTCTGAGTTCATTGAATTTGGGCCCATTTGATTCACTTATTAGACTCAGAGATGTTGTTGATGAAGGAGTTGTTGAACTGTCTGACGGAGCATCAGATGAAATATGTTGGGAACAAAAAGTGGATCTTTTAAAGCCGTCGTTCTCCTGTAGTTTCCGATCAGTGTCAGGTTTTATAGAAATGTTTTCGTCCTCGCTGCCTGAGTGGATATAATGATTAGCTAAGTGCTCCCAGGTCTCGCTGCTTGTCCCGGCTTGTGCAGAGGCTTCCCTCCGCCCTCCCCACAGCTCCCCCATCATTACACCTCTGTGTTTAGAGCTCGCCTGGTTTACTGAGAGACAGATAGCCGAGTGTTTACAGTAATCATCACATTTGTGCGCGGACGCTCTCTCTTTCTCCGTGTGAGCTGCTGGCAGCCTTCAGCTCTGTAATAAGAGGCTTCAGAGGCACTTTAAGGCTCCTCAAAGACATTAGTGAGGAGGGCAGGAGGTGGAGGGGAGGATTTGGAGCTCTACGCCCTCCATCCATCCATCCAGCCTCCCCCCAGCCTTCTCTTTCAGGTTTTTTTACTGGGCTTGGCAGCGTGCCAGTGTGGATGGAAGAAGTTGACTGGGCTTCACGCTGCAGCTCTGATGGGAGGCTGCTGCTGCTGCTGGTGTGAAAAGTCATGTATGTTACATGCAGCCTCGATGCAGCTGCAGCCAGGAGGTTAGAGCCGCGTTAATCTGCAAGAAGGGCGGCTAAACCTTTACATCTGACAGAAACAGACCAGATTTTTAATATTATTTGCATTAAAAAAGTGTCTCCACTGGCAAAATCTGATTGTTTTTGTTCTTTTTTGCACAGAAATTCAAAACTAGACTCACAAAGCAGACGCAGTGACAAACTCTACTTGAATTTGCACCATTTTTACATCACCTTGCTTCATATACATTCATGTGTTTTTCTACCTTTAAGGATGTGTCAATGCAATGTCAGTTTTCACAAATGCAAACATTAAAAATGAGTATAACACATGTCTGGTTGTCCTCCACAAGCAAAGAATGAGCACTAAATGCCTTTTTTTTGCACATTCTGGTGAGTTTTTATGCACAGATTTGTTCCTCTTTCTGCATCAATTTACAGTCAAATAAAATAGAACAGAAGATTTTTATTGTTTATTTCTCTGTATGTCCAGAACATACAGAGGAACCAAAAAGACATGTCTCTCTCACCTTTATACCATACATTAAATAAAGGATAATAAAAAAAAAATGTATAAATACAACACAATAAAATAAAATATATAAAAATCACGCCATGTCTTTATGCCTGTAACCTAAAGGAAAATACAAATAATTAAAAATATATTGTAATCTAATGCAGCGATGCTCTCAGCCTTTTCGTATTTCTTTCAAATATTTATCCTCCTGCACATCACTTCATATTTTCCTGCTGAGTCAGCACATCTCCTGTCAGCATGATTCACTTCATCTCCTCTTCTGTGTCTTCTGTTCAGAGACTTCTTTAAATGTGCAGCATCAACGATAAACTCATTTAATGACTCTGTTTAATAGCGTAGATGTGTCTCAGCAACACTAAACTCATTGAAAACACACCGTCTGTGCTGTTTGGTGATGTTTCATAAGAATCATCTGTTCTTGTATCTTTGTTTTGTTTTCAGTTGATTGAAAACACGTTCTCGTCAGAACCGATTAAGAGCATCGATCAGCAAACCTCCAAATTATTCTGGAAAAACAAAACACTGAGCTGCCAAGTAGAAATCTCCACACAACCACCACTATTGTAATCACAAGTCACTTTGGTTTCAGACTTGTTCAGAACAAAATTGTTCTGTTGAGAGAAAATGTTCTTAATATCTGAAAGTTAAAAAAAACAACAACAACAGATGACTATATGTGTTGATGCTCGTCACCAATGAGATGAATGAATTAAAGTCTTTTCAAAATTGCAATTCAGTTTATAATGTAAGAATGATTATGAATTAAAGTCCAGACCTGTGTCTGTGGACTGCAGCACTGGACAAGAGAAGATTTTCTTGAGAACAAACTGAGAACAAACTCACAGATTTACCTTCTCAGATAAAATGATGCAGTTGTTGAAGGTTCCTCATTTTCTAAAAAAAAAAGGAAAATATAATTAATTTAACACACAATCATTAGAACATTGCATCAGTGGAACTTCAGTAACTTACAACATTACAAAGTTTCATCGTCGCTCACTTAACCTTTAAAACAAACTTTAAAGCTGCTGTTGGTTACAACAAATCAAACGTTTCTTTACAAAAAAAAACTTTGATTTTTTTTCTCTGTAGTTTGAAATTTAAACTTAAAATTGTGTCTTACCTTTTCTGGTCCTGATGTGAAGCTTTAAAGGTAAAAATAATGATGTAATCTGTCATTTACACTGATGAGCGTCGATGCAGAGCTTCAGCTAAACATGTTTCATGATAATAATAATTACCACATCGTTAAAGAGCGTAGCTGCTGCAAACTTTAATATAAATGTGTACTTTTTTATTTAACCTGACACTCTCTGCACCTTCCCATTGAGTCATTCATTTCTACCTAGAATGCTTTTCCATCGTCTCTCAGAGCTTTTTAGGAATAAAAATACTTTATTTTGTGCCACAAACTGCAAAACAGAAACAAACCTGATCCAAACAAACAGCACAGAACACAATGTGCAAGAAATCACCGAGCAGCCGAGGAGGAAAACAGCATTTAGTGACGGTAAACACTGTGTTTAAATGTAATTTTGAGGTAATAGCGTTTTATGTATACTTTCTCCTGCCACTCCATCTCAGAGGGAAATATGAAACCTCCTGAGTTTATCTGACAGCTCTTCCAGGGTGTAGATTTGACACGATATGACAAGCTTTCAAAACACAACGCATCGTTAGAGATTAAATCTAAACCGTTGTGCTTCTTCCAGAGCAGCCGGATCAGACGTTCACACTCCATGAAGATTCTCACATGGCTCTGTTTCAAAACACCTTCAGATGATCCGACGTCTCAGCAGAGATATCAAAGATTAGAGAAAAACTGAAAACAGATTTGTGTATCAGAAGCTGACCTTCTTTTCTTCTCTCTGCTCCCATTAATCAGATTTATCTTCTGAATATAAAACTGGATGTAAAGTAGTTCAAACTGCAGCAGCTACAACAAGCTGCTGATGCTTCACTGTTGACAATCTAATGATGTCGAATATCATAATATAACAGTCACAGCGACCAAACCGGGACTTTTACTGCGATGCTTTAATTAGATTTTGCTGTTTTGGTGCTTTTACTTCAGCAAAGGATCTGAATACTTGTAGCATCACACTGTGGACACACTTTGACTTTAACAAATTCTAATTGTTTGACATAAAGAGACAAATATTAGCACAGAATTATACGTTCTGCATGTAGTTTTTTCCTCTTTACATATTAATGATGAACCCCAGCAGCATCTAAAGTTTTAATTTCTGTCCACGAGGATTTTATTTTTGTCTCTTTGCTGCATATAAGCTGCACAAATTCCTCATTTGTGCTCATTTCCAGTATTTCTGTCATCAAACCGCTCATGCATCTTGACACTGTGTTGCTGTGTTTTCGATGCAAATCCAGCTACAGATGCCACAAAGCTAATATTTAGCCAGAAGTGCAGCGTGTGCTCTCTTTGCATGTTTACCCAGCAGGCTAAAACAAGACAACACGCAGGTCCGGGCAGCGCAGGCTTCAGTCTGAAGTGGCGTGTTTGTGAGTTAAGGCAACAGACGAGCGTGTGGATGCTTCCACAGCAAATAAATGAGCTGATGAAAGAATAAACAGAGACTCTGCAGAGGAGATTGATTGAATTCACTTTATTCTAATCCAGATGCCAGAGAAAGATAAAAGAAGAGCAGGGAATGAAATAGAGGGCGAGCGTTCTCCCTGCACGTGAAGCCGAGTGGCTGACTCGCTGCCTGCGTCCCGGGTGGTATTTGAAGTAAAGTGGAGGTGTATGTGGCCGCTGGATGACATGAAGCCTTTTATTCTGAAACCCTGCAGGCACTTCCAGCTTTCATGTGAGGCTGTCGTCCGTCACCTGGGCAGCACATTGGGTGGATGTGATGTTATGACATGTTCTGAGTGTGGCGCTGCCTTAATGGCTGCAGCAGGATTCTGGTTTGATGTATGAGGTTCATAAAGTTCATAAATAAAGGAGGTGGAACAAAGAGATCAACAAGCGTGATTTACTGCCGGCAGGAAAAGAGGTAAAGAGTCCGTAGAACCCTGGTTTAAAGGTTCAGCAGCTAAACTGTAGAGAGAGAGAAAAAAAAAGCAGTTTTTACTTTAATTTTCCTTCTCGTTGTTATGTGACAGATTTTTACAGTGATGTTGAATGTTTAGATCATAGCCTGAAAAAGCACAGAGAAAAAGACCAGCTTGGTAGCCCTAAAACACACTATTAAAAAAAACTGTACATATGTCAAATAAATCTGCATTTTTTCATTTTTGTTATTTTTAAACTAATGCTGGTGGTAATTTTTTTATTAACAACATCTGACCACTTTAAAAACAAACAAACAAAAAAAGCTTTAAGTCTGCTACTATATAGAGAAATTTGCTGTTACTCGGGGGGAAAAATGACGTAAATATGTAATAAATGAAGTAAATGATGCTAATATTTAGTAAAAATGTTGTTTACATGATGACGACAAAAATAAAAAAATGTCAGAAATATTCACATCCAAAATCTGTATTTTATAAATGATAATTTTGTTTGTTTGTTTGTTTACAAAAGTTGAACATAAAAGAACTGCTTTTTACTGCATTCAAATCAGCATAAATATTGTCATTTTACAGATATTTGCTTTGCTTTGCCATTTAAAAAAAAAAGTATATTAAAGAATTTAAAATTGTAGATAGTTTTTAAACTGTAACATTACCAGGTTTTCCTGTTTTGAATTAAAGATAATATCATGTAAAATCACAGAAAAGTAATAATTTCTGCGCTAAACCTTTTTTTTAAAAAAAAGGCTCAAGCTGCAACTAACATTCACATCAAACATCTGTATTTTCACAAAATAATTTTGTTCATTTATAACATGTGACTTTAAAATTATACCATTTTTAACTGTATTTAAATGAGTAAATGTTATTTTTCAGGTATTTAGCAGCATTTTAAAGAAAAATTGTGTATATTAAGAATTAAATAATGGGAAATAATTTTAAAACTGCTTTTTTAACAGACATTCTATTTTTGTTGTTGTTAAATTACAGATAATATCTAGTAAAATGTATTAATTTACAAAAACTGTAAACAATGTCCAAATCAAAAATCTGTCATTTTACAAATAGTGATTAGTTTTTAGTTTTTTAGTTTTTTTAAACTTCGTGTGGCGCTAAAATTATGACTTTACCATCGTTAAATCAGCTGAAGAAATACTATTTCAAAGATATATTTCACATTATTTTGACAACTATTGTCATTTATAAACATTATTATTTAGAGTTTCACCCTTTTTCTTAATTTTTAACTTTTTGTTTCCGGTGCCCGTTGCCTCCCCGACACTGAGTTTGCAACCAGCTTCCCATCAGCCATGTTTGTCCCAGTTCATCAAACAGTAATAAGAACTATTCATTACCACCACAATCATTTACCAACCGCTGTCCCCATAGGAGGGAATAACACGCACAGAAAGCCACTTAAAACCTCCAGTAAATACCAGCCACTGAATTTACTGCACTGTTTGAATACTGTAAAGCCGGCTCCACATCTGCAGCCAGCGTTTATGCACAGAAACCAAACAGTCCCATGCTGCTCCAGACATGAATAAAGCAGGACGCTGTGCAAAACCAGCTCAGTACCGGAGCGTGTGATCGGAATAAAGAGGTCTGCATTGCTTAGTGTAGAATATAGTTTCTGTTTGATCCACAAAAGTCTAAGAATGTCATGAAAAAATGAATGTAGATGTAAAATCATGTCAGTTGTAGCTGTTTGTTGTCTTGTTTGTGATGTTTTATGTGTCTTGATCAGCATTTTGTCTGTTTTCGGTGTCTCATTTTTTACCCTTTTGCATTAATGTTGCGTCACTTTATAGTTGTAGTCATACCCTGCTGGTTTTACCAGTTAAAATAGCTTCAAAGTTCCACCTAATGCAGTTTTCCAGATGCCAAGAACTGACTGCAGCTTCTACACAGTGACCGAAATGTTCTGAACACACTAGAATGACTTAATTTGGTTCATGCCAATTTGTTTTTTAAGATTATGTCCAATAGAATAATTTACAAAATGGGATATTTTCTTTAATTTATACATAAAATCCATCTTTAAATCATGTTAATTAGTTTCTACACATAAACAATGACATTAGATATGCCAGAAACATCATGTTGTCTATAAACATAAATTTCACACCCAAATACATCATAAACTACGAAAACAAACTCTTTGCTGACATTATTTAAGCATTGAAGCTTCACAGAGACAAACTTTTGCAATCAGGACAGATGTAAAATTCAGGGTATTTGCATGTTGTGTTTGTTTGAGCAGATAAAAACAGATGGAAACGGAACTATAATCAGTTTTTGGCACAAAATCAATGAACTCCAGTCAACAAGCTAATCAATGACAACATCTACACAACAACATGCAGCACATCTCTGGTTCATATGAACTCCAGTCAGCTGCAATCAAAGCAGGAGTTGAACGTTTCATGTTGAATATCAATGAGCCATGGACAGCTTCATACACATATGAAAACTGAAATGACGAGTATTTGAGGACCTGTGAGGCTTTTCAGCGTAAAACCCACAGCGGTGTGTCGGCGGTCAGTGTGGGAATAAACACGGTGTCTGGATGAGAAACATCTGCTGCCTCCTCCTCCTCTGTCCGGTTTAATCTGAGAGTCCGGTGATGCTCAGAGGCTGATAAATCACACGCCGATAAACACAATCTGAGGCTGAAGCTGCACAGATGCTCGTCGGGTTTCTGTCCTCAGCGCCTCAACACAAACATCCATAGGTCTGTGTGTGTAGAACAACTTCACGTTTGTGGAATGAAAATCACAAACACACAGTAAACAAAGCGGCCTCTTATTGCAGTCAGATGTTCCACCAGTGTGGCTCCAGCTTGTGGCCTGAGAATAACACGAAGGCATGTAAACAAAAGCAGCGCGAACCACATCCAGATCAGACGGCCCTTCTTCCAGGAACCAGGTTTATTTGAGCCCGCGCGGCTCCGATCCGGCTCCTGTTGTGGGATTAGTTTATTTCAGGCGCAGCACACAACGCCGGAGGTGTGGCTGCGCTAAAAATACACGAACCGCGATCAGATGTTCTTATACTAGTCATCTGTCAAATAGCTGTTCTTGTTGAAGCTCGGTGTCGGTCAGAGGTCGTGGTTCTGCTCTCAGTGGCTGTCATGTCTGTTCCTGTGGTCGTCTGACATCAAGACATTTGGACTCATTTTAGTTGATTTAATATGTTTTCATGGTCTTTTATCTTCTCTTAGTGGTTGTTGTGTCTCTTTATAGTCATGTTTGATCTCTTAGCAGTCATTTGGTGTCTTGTTGTGGTTGTTCTACGTTTCTTTGTGGTCATTTTGCTTCTCTTACTGGTGATTTTGTCCCTCGTTGGTCATTTGACGTCTTACTTTGGTGTTCTATTGTGTTTTTGTGGTCTTTTAGCTTCTCTTAGTGGTTGTTTTTGTGTCTTGTTGTGGTTGCTTCATGTCTCTTTGTGATCATTTACGTCTATTAGTGGTTGTTTTTTCTGTTCTTGTGGTCTTTTGACATTTGGACTCATTCTGGTTGATTGAATTATACTTTTGTGGTCATTTTGTTTCTCTTATTAGTTATTTTGTCCCTCGTTGGTCATTTGACGTCTTATTTTGGTGTTCTGTTGTGTTTTTGTGGTCTTTCAGCTTCTCTGAGTGGTTGTTGCGTCTCTCTTTACAGTCATGTTTGATCTCTTTGCAGTCATTTGGTGTCTTTTTGTGGTTGTTCTGTGTCTGTTTGTGGTCATTTTGTGTCTCTTTGTGGTTGTTTTGGCGTCTTGTTGTGGTTGTTTCATGTCTCTTTGTGATCATTTATGTCTATTAGTGGCTGTCGTGTCTGTTCTTGTGGTCTTTTAACATTAAGACTTTTGACATTTGGACTCATTTTGGTTGATTTAATGATGTTTTTGTGGTCATTTTGTTACTCTTACGGGTTATTTTGTCTGTATTTGGTCATTTGACGTCTTATTTTGGTGTTTTATTGTGTTTTTGTGGTCTTTTAGCTTCTCTTAGTGGTTGTTGTGTCTCTATTTATAATCATTTTCGATCTCTTAGCAGTCATTTGGTGTCTTGTTGTGGTTGTTTTATGTCTGTTTGTGGTCATTTTGTTTCTCTTACAGGTTATTTTGTCCGTATTTGGTCATTTGGTGTCTTGTTGTGGTTGTTTCATGTCTCTTTGTGGTCATTTTGCTTCTCTTAGTGGTTGTTTAGTCTGTATTTGTGGTCATTTTATGTCTTAATTTTATTTTTTAGCATCTTTTCATGTTAATTTTGCTTCTCTTAGTGGTCGTTGTGTCTCTCTTTATAATCATGTTTGATCTCTTGGCAGTCATTTGGCGTCCTTTTGTCGTTCTTCTGTCTGTTTGTGGTCATTTTGTGTCTCTTAGTGGTTGCTTTGGCGTCTTGTTCTGGTTGTTTTATATCTCTGTCATCATTTTGCTTCTCTCAGTTGTTGTTGTGTCTATTTTTGTGGTCTTTTGACATCATGACATTTGACATTTGGACTTATTTTGGTTGTTTTATTGTGTTTTTGTGGTCTTCTAGCTTCTTTTAGTGGTTGTTGTGTCTCTTTACAGTCATTTTTTAACTCTTATCAGTCATTTGGCGTCTTGTTTTGGTTGTTTTATGTCTCTTTGTGTTTTATTGTGTGTCCCTTGGACATTTTCCTCCTCTTGGGGCGTTATGTGTCTATTTATAGTCATTTATGAGTCGTTTGACATCTTGATTTGGTTGTTTT